TCATTGCTCCTGCATGCTGCCAAGTGTTCCATTGTATGAATGTACCACAACTTCTCAATCCATTCGTGTGTGGTTGGAAATTTGAGATATTTGTGTGTTCTTACAATGGTGAATAATGCTGCTATGAACCCTGATGTACAAGTCACCATTTGAGCCTCAGTTCTCATTTTTTCAGGCTATATTCCAAGCAATGGAATAGCTGGGTCTTATGGAATTTCTATATTCAGCTTTTTAAGGAAGCACCGAACTGCCTTCCAGAGTGGTAGTACCATTGTACAATCTCACCAACAATGTATAAGTGTTCCTATCTTGCCGCATCCTCTTCAACGTTTATTACTTGCTATCCTGTTAAACTTTGCCACTGCTACTGGAGTGAGATGGTATCTCATTGTGGTTTTGATTTGCATCTCTTATTGCCAGTGATTTGGAGCATTTCTTCATATGTCTGTTGGCCATTTGAATGTCGTCCTCTGTGAAAAGTCTTTCCATGTCTTTAGCCCCTTTTGTAATTGGGTTATCAATCTTTTTCTTGTGGAGGCCCAGGAGTATTCTATAAACTTTCATTATGAGACTCTTGTCTGAGATGTTATTGCCAAATGTTTGTTCCCAGTTGGTAGGTTTTCTTTTCACCCTGTTTGAAAAAGTTTTGATGCACACAGGGATTTACTTTTTAGAAGATCCCGTTGATCAATTTTATCCTCTTCAGATTGTGCATTTCTGGCTGTACTTGGCAGTCTCTTTATACTGTGGACTAGTCTTAAAAGCTTGATTCCAGTTTGTCTCTGATGAACTTTATGGTTTTGGGCTTTACTCAAAAGTCTCTGATCCACTTTGAGTTGATTTTTGTGTATGGTATGAGATGTGGATCCTGTTTCAGCTTTCTATAGGTAGCAGTCCAGTTTTGTCAGCACTATTATTGAAGAGGTTGTCATTTCTCCATTTGATAGAGTTTTATTTCCTTATCAAATATCAGTTGACCATAGATTTACATAGATGGATCTATTTCTGGGTTCTCAATTCTGTTCTACTGGTCTATATGCCTGTCATTGTACCAGTACCATGCTATTTTGGTTACCACTATTGTGTTGGTTGTGGAAATAATTTTTAATGAATTATTGAATATTTGTAATCAATTATTAAAATAGCATATATGTGTAGATTGTGAGACAAAGAAAACAAGACCTAAAATTGTTGTTATGGGCTGTCGAGTCCCCTGCGACTCATAGTAACCCTATGTACAAGAGCTCTGAAGCCTGCCCTGTCCTGACCCTGTCTCACTGACTCCAACAAACCTACCCCATTGCTCCAGTTACTGTATCGCTCTGTCTCATCCAGGATCTTCCTCTTCTGCACTGTCCCTCTACGCTTCCAAGCATGAGGTCCTTCTCCAAGGACTGGCCCCTCCTGGCCATGTGCCCAATGTATGTGAGACGGAGCTTGAAAACCCTAGCCTCCAAAAAAAACACAGTTTTTGGAATAGAAAACTTACTTTTTAATGTATGCATATTTATTTTCTTTGAATCTCTTTTTTTAATCATATATATACAATATCTCCTCTGTTAAATAATAAAAAAATATATTTGCATGCCTTCTAATGTGCCATTAGGAGATTTAGGAGGAGCATATAATGACTTTGCTAATAGCTTCCTCCGCAGAGTCCTCCAGTGTGTCCATCAGCTGCACAGTGCCAGACTTAGACAGATCTTGGGACTTGGGCCAAGGTGACATTTCTCAGGCGCCTCCCCATATAACCTCCGCTTCCAGCCTCTGCTCCCGTTTCTCTGAATTTATAGGATACTATGTTAAAGAGGAAATATGTTCTTTCCCTTTACCCAAAGGTGCCTTTTTATACTTCAGACTTCTCCATTTAAGACTGTTTTCACCATGCACTGCTGTGATCAAGTGCTGCTGTGGGGTGGGAAGAAATACACAGAGTTCTAGAGAAAGTTGTGAATTAGAATTACATCTTGGCAGTACTCTCAGACACCACCATCTCCTGCAAGCAAGGGGAGCACCAAGTGTCAGCAGGAAGGTGTGGAAATTGGCAGCACTTTCCGAAAAGGGGGCAGTTTGGGAGGCTGTATTTAATTTAGTTTGGATATTAGATGAATTAAAATGGACGTGCTCAAGTTATGAGCCTTACCTCATCCAAGTTATAAAAAGCCCTTTAGCTGGGCTGTAATCTGACTCTTCTCTCTGTAATGTTACACAATATTCCTATGGTTACAGAGCCTGAATAAGTGGACGCTAATCATTAGTTTGCTAAATGTGGTTCATGGAACAGTTCACAACTCCCAGACCTGCCAAGTGCTGCTTGCTTAGTGTCATGTTCACTCTTCTTGGGTAGAAGTTGGTTTGTTCTTCAGAAAAATGTACAGTAACATTTGTGTCGCATCCAGAAGCCATGCCATATGGCAACCCTCCATGCATCTTAGGGGTGGGGAGGGAAAAGGTCATGCTCAGCAAGCTTTTTGCTGCATACACTTTTAAAGAATGACAAATTTAAGTGAGCATTGCGATGACAAAAGAGGGTTTGGGGTATTAGGGAAAGAGTGTTTTGTGCACTTTCAGAAATTTGCTATGACCAGAACCCTGTGGAGTTGACTATTCTGTGGCCTTTTAAACAGAGCCATGTATCTTAGTATTTCTTTTACTTATTCATGTAACAAGAAGGAGTTTATTGCCCAGGTGCGTCTGCAAACCTCACACAGGTGTTTGTATACAGGAGACAAACATTTTAGGAGTTGGGGCCCTTTCCTCTCTCATCTCCCATTGCATGTCAGGGAGACACACTGAGAGCAGATTTGTGGTCTTACCTAGACTTTATATGTAGAATTTTCTGGGAAAAAGGGCAGCTGGAGTGCCTCTTAGAGGCAAGAATAGTGAGACTCTGTCTCATATACTTTGTGCAAGTTGTCAAGAGGGGCCAGTTCCTGGAAAGGGATGTTGTGCTTAGAAAGTTGGGGAGTCAGTGGATGAGAGGAAGGTACCCAGTGAGATGAATTGACACAGTGACAACAACAATGGGCTTCAACACAGCAAAGATTGTAAGGGTGGTGCCAGGCCAGGCCGGGTTCTGTTCCATTGTACACAAGGTTGTTATGAGTCAAGGCCAACTGATTCTTAAGACACTCATTGGTGTCTGAGTTTTCCCCAGGAAGTAGAAAAATGTGTTGGACCACCACTGATGCTTTCTCCTTTCCCATGTGAAATGCTGTTGGCCCTGCAGTAGGAAGCTCCTGGATGGTGCTTGACGATTCTTCTTGGAGACAGTCCAGTAGCTGTATCTGTTCAGTTGGTGTATTGTTTAGATTTCTATAGATTATGTAAACAGAAAACCTGGCCTCTTCTGCCTTACAGGAAGTTTATTGGCTTATATAACTGAAAAGTTGTGATCGGACACTAGGCCTCAAGTAACATCATCAAAACCTAGTATCTCATGCCACTCAAATCACAATAAAATTTTAAAAATAAAAAAACAAAAAAAACCACACCAAAAACCCCCTAGGATCTCTGCTTCTTTCACCTTTTTTTGATTCATCCTCGAGCTCTACCTGGTGGGGCCTGAATACTAACGACATTACCTCCCAGGCGACATTACCTCCCAGGCGTGAGCCCATAGGTCTTTACTCCTCCACCCTCCTTTCCCGGAAATGTCTTGAGTTTCTGTCTGATTAGACTGGCTTAGGGCTTGGTCAGTCCCTGAACAAGTCACCTTGTTCCAAGAGATGCTGTGCTTTGAATGATCTTTCCTAAATCTCATTCACCATCGCCAGAGGGTTGAGCCTCACCCAATACATGGACAGGGACAGACCCAAAGCTGAAAGTGAGAGACTGCACAGAAAGAGAGGGAATGGGAGCCAGAAGGCAGGTAACTGTGGAAGGAAGCCAGTGTGAGGAACCCAGAGTATCCTTAGATGGGAGGACGTCACTGCCCTCCTATCAGTTGGTGTCTGACCCCATCACCTCACGGAAGTAACACAGGGTTCTGGTGAAGCAATTTCTATTCCCCAGTCTCAGCCTTCTGTTGTCATTGTCCTCTGTGCTGCTCAGGAAGACTAAAAAAAAAAAAATTAAAAAAAATTTCTCTCTTTTAATACACATTATTTCAAATGCACACATTTGTTTAAAAGTCTGAGGAAGAGGCGACGGAGAAAAGAATTCTCAGGAGCTAGCATAATTATAGTGGTTCTCATTGTATTTCTGTGGTTCAGGCAACATTGCAAAAATATAAAAGTAATGAGATCAAATCAGGCAGTTTGGAAAATGCAAAAGCCTCAATTCCACCATGCTAACCCAACCACTGTTTCCATTTTAGCGTATTTCCTTTTAGTCTTCATACATATGAGTTGCTCACAAACTTTGTAGCTTTATATTTTTTGGTTGATGTTACATGATAATACAGGTATTTTCCACGTACTGTAAGCCATTGTCACATGAATGGCTCCATCCTAACAGCCTGTTAGGTCAAGGACACATAACTTTATGTTGCTTCCTTTTTCAAAGTCTTAAAACTCTTTTTTCAAAATTTTGGGGATTATTTATTATTATGGAGAATTACATACACTGAGTCGTTTTGGGGGTTGTTGGTTTTTTGTTGTTTGTTTTTGTTGTTTTTTTTTGGCTATGCAGATTTTTATCTGGTTTATCTTTTTTCCTGAAAATAGATTGTGAGAAGTGGGATTACTGGTTCAAAGGGTATAAGCATTTTTATTACTTTTATACACATTGCCAAATTATTTTTCAAAACCCATCTGTTTATCTCTACTGCCTCCTGCAATTTATAAGAGCATCAGTCTGACTGCATTTGTGCCAGCAATGGGTATTTGGATTTTCAACATTTTTCCCTATTTAGGCAAAATACATGTGTTGGTTTTGGTTTTTATTTGTATTTCTTTAATTGCTAATAAGATTGGACACTTTCATGTATGATTTTATTTATTTTCTCCCAATGTACAACAATATTCTCTGCTGTAAGCAATGCCTTTCCTTTGTTTTAGACCCCAAAACAGCATCTGAAACAGAAACGGATATCTGTGCCGAATGGGAGATAAAGACCATCACTAGTGCCCTGAAGACCTACCTCAGGTAGGGACTTTCCGCGTTTGCAAGGCGGGCTGCCAGCTTGTTATCAGCCGATCAGGAAGAGAGCAGTTTTATTTTCAGCCTCCTGAGAGTTGTTGGGTGGGCGTTTGAGATGTGGAAACAGCTTCTTTATAGGTGCAGTTAACTCAGCTGATCAAACTGATTGTAAATTGTCTAGAAAGGCTAGGTAGGCATTGTGTGGTGGTGCAGTGAGTGATTTAGGAAGCTTTCCCTTTTTACAAGAAGCAACTGTGATAAGTACTATTGAATAAAGGGGTCCTGGCAGTGGGTTTGTGGTTGGTTAATCTAAAATGTTGTCTTTCTTGAAATCCCAGAGTATTCTTTTAAGAAACCAAGGAATCACCGAGCACTCTGGGGAAGCTGCATAATCATATACTCCATGCTGTGATAGTCCTGTGCCTTGAAGCACATGGCATATTGCTCACAATGTATTGCTAAAAATTAGAACTAAGTGGAGCTTCCTTCTAACTTCTACTAACACTGGAAAATATTACTTTGTAGAGAAGACTACTATAATTGTTTTCTTTTTATTATGATCTGGGTGGACGTTTACAGAGCAAATACATTTTCCATTTAACACTTCATCTACATTTTGCTTTATGACATTGATTGCTATCTCCACAATTTAACAGTACTTTTCCCACGTCTTCGCTGTGTTTTCCATTTCCATTTGCCCTTCCTCCTTATCCCTTGCCTTCTTCCTTCTGAGATTTATCCCTGGACAAAGGCTATTGGCTTGATATCATATGGTTGACTGTTCTAACTTCTTCCTTTCCACCTACTTCTCCTGACTATTGAGGGTGTTACTTTGACTAACTACCTGCTTCTGGTCAGCTAGAAGCATGAATAGACTGAAATTACTGCAGGACTCAAAGAACTGGAATATTGTAATTCTTTATTAAAGGTCCTTATGCAGAGAAAGGAGGGGGTCAAGTCTTAAACCGAAAGGGTGATGATATAACATTTGATGATGTTACAATTGTGTAAGAGTTTCTAGAGGCTTTTAAAGATTTGCTTAGCTGGAGAGCAAAGACAGAGCCACCAAAAAGAAATTGGTAATTCAGGCTTTATTGATTACAGATTTTTGAAACCAACAGTAAGATGTTATGACTACGTGCTAAATTAGGACCAATTTAAAAAAAAATCTGTTTTGAAACTTATTTGGACTATCAGAAAAAAAAAAACCCTCAAGTTTACAGTTAAGCATATTAACACCCCAGCAGGTATAAATTGGCTCTTGGCACACATAGTATGAGTGGTTCCAGCCCTTTGGCATTAAGGAACAACACTTCATAGTGAATTAGCTGAAAATATACCTCCCAACATTTCCCAAAGTATTCCCAGATAAACTGATTGAGATAAAAAGCTACTTGGGAGATGAGAGTGTAGGCCCACATTGTTGCAAATCGTTACTTAGATACATCTTACAGTGCTTTTGTGGATGGGTGAATGAGTCACTGACTGAAAAAAGAAATCTGCTGGTTTATGCTAGACTTTTGCCTTAGCACTTTTCTAATTGGAACTGTGGGAATAGAGATGTACTCATTCCCTTAGAAAAGTGAAAAAATGAGAATTTCAGGTCAAATCTCAGATTACTTTCAAAGAGTAGATGACATTGAACTGAATTGGGCTGCTCTCCTTTCTCTGTTGTCTTTGCCCTTTGTGAAATTCAGTTCAATTTTGCAGCCTCTAGGCTCCTGTTGAGAAAAAGTGTGATTATTATATCATTGTTTAGCTGACTAATGCGTATCCTTTTATTCCAGAATGCTTCCTGGACCACTCATGATGTACCAGTTCCAAAGAAGTTTCATCAAAGCAGCAAGTGAGTGGCTTGTTGTTGTTGTTGTTCATAGTTTTAAAGGGGGGAAAATAGATTTTTCTATTTCAAAAAACAGTCTCCCAAAATAAATATTATCTAATCCTTCAAATGCTGCATGCAAACTGCCTACCTACAAGCTCAAGCAAATGCAACTCAGAATAAAAGTGAAACCAAATCAGGATTACTAAGGAGCATACGGCCACATGGAATTTACAGTAAAGGAGAAAACTTTGGGACTTTTTTTATAAAGAGTGGAGAGGTAGGGAAGGTGGGAGGGGTGGGGGGAAGCATATTTCCCTTCCTAGTTCAGAGTGGGGTTTTTTGTTGTTATTTTTTTTAGTTCTAACTCCTTGGGTTTTTTTCAGCCCTTGAACAGTGTTTTGCAGAATGAATCATACATTGCACATTACCTAAATTGAGCACTGGAAGTCTTTCCCTGAATACGACACCATTATGTAACATTCACAGTCCTCTTTTCCATTATATCTTCCATTTACAGCTTCTCATCATTCTCCAGCTATATCATCCAGCTTCTTGGCGTCATATTGCTGGTATTAAAATACATAGGGATTAGATAAAAGCTGCCCTAACTATTCTGGAATCTTTCTACGTGGGACAGGCCTCTCCTGTGAGGGGGCAGAAAGATATTCTTGTCAGATTTAAATCTGGCTTGAATGCCCACAGTGCACAGGCCTTTGCCTCTCCTGTCTCCTGTAAGCCTCCTACCAGCCTAATTTAGTGAGTGGTACCTAATGTTCGGGTGGCTTTGTTTCATTATAGTGACCCCTTAAAATGGGGAGGAGAAAGCCATGGGAGAAAAGTGGGAGCGAGGATGGTGTTTATGTGATTTCTCTCTCAGAGAAATTCCAAGCCCATAGCAAGCATTCTCTAATTAAACCTCACCTCAGTCCTATAAATAGGTGTGGCGAGTCCCATCAGCCTATTTTCTCCGAAGCACGAAGCCACTCACCCAGGTTCAACCAAGAGAACTTAACAGGCCATGATTTAGGTTACAGCTTGGAAGGCAGAGTTTAAAATGTTTATGGGTCGTTGCTTTGTTTCCGCCCCACTGGCAGTCCCACATGGCTTGCCTAAAATATGACTTGCCTCAGTGTCTCCTTTGATTTCTTTGGTGCTCTCTCGAGGTGTTATTTTGATATTTGAGACTCTTGCCATGTTATCCGTGTCCGAATTGTTTGTCACTTTATGAGTGCATGAAGTTCCTTCCTTCCTTGAAATGAAGTGCACACTTGAGAGCCAGCTGCTCTGACTTCGTCCCTCCTCCGCGTATGTGGTTGACTGGCTCCATTTCATCACGTCACCATTTTGGCTTGAATGTATTGATCATCACTTTTTTGACGAGCCCTGTTACAGAATGCCATGAAACAGATTTTACTGGGCCTTGTCATGCGCTGCCCAGGACAGGATCATAAATCTGTGAGGAATCCTCAGTCTGTGAGTGCCCCGCCCTAGTTTCCCTGGATTTTGTCTTCTAGTTTAGCTGTGACACTAATAAAGTATCACCTCTTTCTTCCTTTGCAGAGCTGGAGAACCAGGAGTCTCGGGTCTCCGAAATCCACAGCCTTGTCCATCGGCTCCCAGAGAAAAATCGGCAGATGTTACAACTGCTTATGAACCACTTGGCCAAGTAGGTTTAAGACTGGTCACTGGTTTTCCTCTAAACCTTTGAAAATTCTTATCTCAGCAGTAAACCAGTCTGGGCTGTACTTACATTTCCCCCTTCGACTGCAAAATTGTATCAGGAGGCTTGACAGAAAAATGTGTGAAATGTTAACTGCCTTGGAACTGATGCCAGATGAGTTGCATCAAAGAGGCTGGGGAAGTGTGACATCAGGCCTACTTTTCATCATGTCATTGCCCTTGTGCTAATCAAAGGAAAGTGGAAGCTATGATATACAAAATTTCTGGGGGTTATATTATCCTGTGATCAAGGATGAATGGATGCATGTCATGGATGTGGACCTTGAACCTAGAGTTAGAAGACTTGGATTCTAAAATTAATTGTCTTCTTAAAAAAAAAAAACAAAACACAAAACTACTAACTAGACCTGGACAAACACTGAGCTCTATTTATTTTCTTTACCTGTCAAATATGGAGGAGTTGTTTAACCTAAAATCTCATTGATAAGGCACTTATCTGTGTTAAAGCTTTTTAAGAAGTATAAAGTAAATATATTTGGGCAAATGCCTGCTTGCTCTTTGGGAAAATTAAAGCATTCAGTGGGTCTTGGTTTTCCTGCTAGAAGTACACTCCTGGAATGATTTTGGGTTTCTGTATCATTTGCTTGACCCTTTTAGGAAAGGCTTTGCTGAGTTCCTTGCTGTGGCTGTCACGCAGGGTTTATATTTTAACCTTCCATTGAATTTGGTAGAAAGTTCTTGATTGGAGGCTGGCATTCAGGAAAAGATGGAGAGTGTAACAGTTAACTTAGATTACTAAGCCCTAAATTCTACTTTGCTGATGAGCTGTGGGCCTGACCTGACCTGACCTTACCTGCTTTTTTTCTTGCCATAGTCATTTTTTTGGCCCAGGCTGATACCCTACTAAGTGAGAATGGGATTAGTATTCATATTAATGGGAAACACTGGATAATTCTTTTGGAGTCTGCATATATTAGTGTAAAGATTTCCATGTGTATTAATTATGGAGAAATGAGAGTGTCCGAGGTGTTGATGAGAAGCAACTGGGCAAAGTTGAGATTGCTCTTTCATTGGTCCAATGCATTTTCTTGCCATGTCATCGCAGAGCTGCACGATCAGCAGTAATTAAGAAGCATAGCAGAAAATAAGCAAGTTTGCAGGAGGAATGCGCCAAAATTGTCAGAGTTCTGATGAAGTGTGTTTAAAATAAGAGGACTTGGACTTTAAAAAGTAACTCCAGATGTTCTGCAGTGGTAATCTGGTGCCTATGCCGTGCAACTTGGAGTCAGGCATTTGCAAGAGGGCAAAGCTGGTTTCGATCTTAGTTGCAAATTCTGCAAACTTGAAGGCCCTTAATTCACATGGGGGAAATTCCAGGTACACACTTCAGCCAAGTGTGTGTGTGGACATTTGTGACTACTTTGTGGCCAGCATGTCTTCAGGGGGTCTTGAAGCCTGCTGAGAGCAGCTGGGAAAGAAGGCTTAGGTCCCAGTGCAAGCAGTAGATCTTTCAAGCTGTGGAACTGGAATGAGAGCTTATTTGGGCTGAGAGAGACCATGAGGGAAGCAGGAGTGGCATCCACTTCCTAAACAACTTGCTTTTGGAAACTCTGTGAACTTTGATAAATGTCGATAGTTGTAAAGGGGCTTAGTTGTAAAGGGGCTTCGGGCCTTTTTTTCATAGGGTCGCTATGAGTCATGCTCAACTCGAAGGCAGTCAACAACAACAAAGGACAAAGGCCAGTACTTAAGGGTTCCCTTTTTTAAATTACCCTGAGATTTGTTAGGAATCTTAAAGAAGTGAGACTATGAAGGGAGATTGAGAAGATAAAAAAAACCTTGGAAAAATATTAAAGTAGATCTTGGACAGTGGACCCTGCTCGTTGGTAGGTGATTAACTTTCCCTTCCTCTTCTGCCCTGTGGCTCCTCCACTCCGTTACGTTCAGTTGGTCTCTCTTCACAACATAAGAAGTTCAGCAACTGGAATATGCAACTTGGCAGCTGTGACATAGACATTTTGCCCTGTAACAAATTTAAACCAATTTCATTGCTGGAGTTATTACTCCAGAATTCTGTCTTAAATTTGATACTTGTAATTTTCTCTGGTTTTATGAGATGCCATGGTATTTGATTTATGCATGGAGAAATCTAGGTCTAGAGGAGCTCTCCTGGCTATGATATGAATTGTTTGGAGAACACACGGACTCGTTCTCAGCATGCCAAGTTCTTGATCTCCAGAGTCTCTTGATTTAAACATGGCTGGGAGGATGTGGGCATGAATGAGGACTGCTGGCTCCATATCCGCTGCTGTTGAGTGAGAGTCCAGCTCATAATGACCTTCCATTAGATTTCTGAGGCTGTGAGTATTTGTGGAAGGAGATTGCCCATCTTTCTCAGAACAATTGGTAGATTTGAACTGCTGACCTTTTGGTTGGAAGCCTGATACGTTACATGCTGTGCCACCAGGGTTTACTGCATACAATCAGGAGTATTTATTTAGGCCTGAAAAAAATATTCTTTGGTACCCAAAGGAGTTCTAAAATTCCACTAAAACTTTATATTCTCATTTACAGTACTGTCCTTTTAAAAATTGAGCAATAAGAGAGAACTTGGGACAAGGAGCTTGTCTGTATAATTCCAGTTTTCTCAGGTTCAGAGTTACCCTAGGATACGCCTGAGCTATTGTTCCCCTGGTCCACTTACTTAATGGTCAGCTTCCTTCCGAAGTTTTGGTTTCAGGGCTGGTGCTGCTGGAAAACCCAGTGTTTATTTCTCTCATTACCTACTGTGTTTACCCTGTACATCTCAGGCTTGTGGTTCAAAGGCAAGGCATTTTGCATTGTGTATTTTTAAAAGGACTTTCCTGAAATATTTTAGAAATTTATTTCCTTTGACTGTGGAGGGAGGGTTAATATATTTCATATTTAATTCCATGTAGGACTTCACTTACAAGGGGTGGGAGATGGGGGAAAAAGTCTCAATGGATAAAAACCTAAGCAAGTGATTACCAGAAGCACCCAAATCACAGAGCAGTTGAGTTTGTTTTAGACCTCAAAGGAAACTTAAAAATTATAGGCAACTGTGCACATAATTTGGTTGTGCCTGCTTAAATCTACTTATGATAATTAGATGTTTTCTATTGAGATCTTGCAATCTAGTGTACAATATAGAGCCACATGCCTCAGAGCCTGTTATGGTACCACGAGCGTCAGAATTGCCTGACATGATTACATTGAGTTCCTGGACCCCATCCTGAGTCTACTAAGTCAGACTTCGCCTGGGAATTTGTATTTCCAGCTTATTTCCCGATTAACTATAATGTAGACAGTCTGTTGAGAACCACTGACTGAGAGAATGGACTGAATGCAGGGATTTTCTTAGGGGAAAGTGATATTGGAAGAATGTGTTAGGGTCTAAGAGGACGTTAGACATAGAAAGAATAAAATCAAAGCAGTGAATTAAAAAAGGATATTTTATTGCCATAATTAAACTGTTGTCGTTGTTGATTGCCTTCAAGTCCAGCACGACCTTTTCATAGTGACCCCTATGAACAAAAGACCTGAAGCCCCTTTACAATTATCAACATTTTTCAATGTTGATCAAAGTTCATAGAGTTTCCGGAGGCATGTTATTTAGGAAATGGATGCTACTCCTGCTTCCAAACCTGTCCTAGTATGTTATTGTTATGTGTCATTGAGTCGCCTGCAGTGTATAGTGACCCTATGTACAGTAGCTCTGAACCCTTCCCTGTCCTGAGCCAGTCTCACTAACTTCTTGCGCTTGAGGGATAGTGATTTGAATATGAGACATCCTAGTGACCTGAATTTGAGTCTCAAAATTCTCATCTGAGCTTCAGTTTTCTCATAATTAAACTAGTGTGTGTGGGGGGGGGGGGGGGGTGGTCAAGTTTTGATTTCTCAAGTCTTTGCAATTAAACTTTGCATTAAATTCTCAGTAAATGCCTTTGTTTAAAATCTTGCTTAAAACATTTTTAATAGTAAAGAAAATCCTCCCCAGAAGACTATAGAAGTTTGTGTATATAAATTGATCAACCTTTTTGAAGCTCTTTTCTGAGCTTCCTTCCTTCCATATGATTCTGTGCTTTACCAGGTAGAGGGGTGGGCAACATAAATAAATGGGGGGGGTGCGGAATAAATCCCAGTCTTGTAACTGTAGAAGAAAATAAGAGTAACTGAGTAATGAAGACAATTTCTTGGAAGTTCTCTAGTGTTTACATATTATGATGACTTCAAGTATGCTATATATCCCCACACATACCATTCTTAGTGGCTCATCCTAACTTTATTGCCGTGTTTGTGCTGTATGGGAGGATTCCAAAGGACTCTCCATCTATCAGGAGCAGCTATTAAAAATGCCTTTTCACAGCTAGTTTCCCCAGAATGCTTATTGAGAAATAAATCTTCGTCTCCTTTCTTGGAGTGACTATTTCTTTGTTTCTAGGGTGTCGTCAGGCAAAGCTGTGTTTTGCTTCTCCAAAGAAGTATCATGTAAGACAGTTTGAAATGCAAAACCCAGAATATCAAATGCAAAATGTTGCAGTAATAGGGGACTCATTACACATTTTCAGGCCTGAGGGTTGGTTAATTCTTCAGTTTGTGGAGGTCTCTGCTTATTTCCTTGTCTTTGCTCAGCCAGCCTCATGATGTTGTCTAGCTTCTTGTATGATCCTAAGATGCTAAATCACGGACTTGCACATTATTCGATGTCCAGAGGCAGGAAAGATATTGTGTCTTCTTTTAGTCTCTTTTGAAGACCTGTGTTGATCTTTTTCCCAGAAAACTCTCCTCAGACTTCCCATCACAATCAGATGCATTGGAATGGACTCACATGCTTGCCCTTGAATCAATCACCAGTAAAAGGAATGGGACCACTTTGATTGATAGATACCAAGCAGGATTTGCCAGTGCCACCTGATAGAGGAGAGATGCCAGAATAAAAGCAGAGCTCAGAGCAGGCAACTCACA